GAAACCACGGTGCTATTCTTCAGCTTCACCTTTAGAGTTTAGGCTTGCAAAGTGTTACTTGCAGAAAGCTGAAGTTAATGTGAGGCCTATTTCATGTGTTTTTATTTTCGTACAGATCAGAGCCCTACAATTCCAGATGACAAGGAAACTGTTGCTCACAGATATATTGTATAATTTTATAATTGTTTACACTGGGAAGTTTGATGCCCATTATTCCAATGTCATGGCTGTTGATTCTCAGATTTTTTAAAATAGGAAATTTTTAAGTAAAAACATATTTTTATTGCTTTAGTTGACAAAAATCTATGTATATTGGGAATTTTCAAAATGATTTTTCAAAGGGATTGCTGTGGTTAACTGAAATAAGGAAATTAAGACTGAGGTACCTGAGGTAACACCTCTTTCATTCTTTTTCATGGATGTGTTAGTTGTATTTAATTGTTCAAATCATCCTGAAACATTTGGTTACATAATGTATACATACTGACTTCATAATATCCAGTGGTGCTTTTTAAAAATATATAGTTTTAATTGAATCACCATGAATTACAAAGTGTTCATCAGGGAACAACACCAATCCCTTCACCATTGTCCTCTTTCCTCCAACTAAGTCCTCAGTTCCTACCCCCCCCCCCCCCCCGCCTCTTTGACAGGTGCTTTTCTCCATTGTTCAGGCTATTCTCAGGGATTTGTGCTCAGGGATCATTTCTGGCGGGCTCATGGAACCATATGCGGTGCTGTGGATTGACCCCAGGTTGGCCACGTGCAAGACGGAATCCCTACCCATTGTACTATCACTGCAGCCCATGAGACCTGTTCTGATCCAGTTTTGTGTTTAACTGAGAAATACACTGTTCTACTAATCGCAGTTCTCTTGTCTTTAGAACATGGACATTTTTGTATTGTGGTAAAATATATCTCCTCATCCTTTGACTTCTCCAACAAATCATTACCAGCTGTATTCTGTGTTTGCAGACTTCTGGCAAGAGGCAAAAATACCACTATGTGCTACTTCATCTTACTAGAAGGTGTTAAAGCCTTGAAAACCACTGCATGAGTTTAATTGTGATTGATGACAAAACATTTTCTGGAGCCAGGGGGTAGGGTGCTTTCTTTTCATGTGACCAACTTGCCTTTTATGGAGTTTGATTCTCAGTACCACATATGTTCCCTCAAGTACCAACAGGACCAATCTCTGAGCACAGAGCTAGGGGAGAAAAAAAACCCTAAGCAATGTTGGGTATGGCCCAAATCCCCCCCACCCCGACACCAAGAAAAAAACCTCAAAATTATTTTTCAGTAAAGGAGAAATTACCAGGTTTCTGTGTATATTTCTAAAATGGCTGAACTTAAAACAGCAAAACAGATTTGATTAGTTTGATATGGGGTAGAATGCAAATTCTTTTTTTGGAATTTGTGGTAGTGTCTTTTCACAACTTATGCTTCAGCTACCCATACCTTTTCTGATATCATGTACCACCTGAAAATTATAAGTAACAGAAATGGCTGGGTGCTATTCTGTGTATACTTAAATAACTCCAACCTTATAGTGAAATATGATTAATATCAGTGTGGAAATGATGAAATAGCATCATAGAAATTTAGTTACTTGTTCAAATTAAATATCAAGGATTTGAATGTTTTGTCTGTACACAATTGTATTTCCAATTGAGCACAAGTTTGATTATTTTATAATATAAATTTACCTTGTTGCTAGGTAAGATGTTGCAAAGAATGTTAACAAAGGACCTTTATTTTTAGAGAAATTAGCTCAGTATTTTTCCAGTAAAAATATCTCAAAAGTATATAAAGATTCTCCTATCTGCAGGTTTTTTTAAGATTTAAAATTAGATGTGTTCTACTCAAAGGAACTTTGTTTAAAAAAATGCTTCATTGGAGATAATGTCTTTTAGCATTTTCTTTGCCTCTTGTCAGGGTAGAAAACAATGGTTCTTTTGCTTGATTTAATATAATTATGTCTGACAACACAGTTGACAGAGAAACTGTTAATATACTAAAGATTTTTCAAGTTCTCTGCTTCTAAAAGCCATTAAAAGTGTTAGCAAACCAGAAATACCACACAAAAAATCTAAAAGTTATTACCAGAGAAATTATCTATCTCTGGAGTTGTTGGGTATAAATTACTTCGTTGACTAACCGAATAAAAATAATTCCATATTAAACAGGTAAACTGATTTTATATACTAAAGGGTTTATATTTTATGTTTGAGTTTTTGGATTTGGGGTCACACCTGGCAGTGCTCAGGTATACTCCTGACTTAGTGCTTGGAGGAATATATGGCACTAAGAAATTCCAACCTGGACCTCCAGCATGCAAAGCAAGTTCTTTTAATCCTTTGAACTATATCCCCTACCCATGATTTGAAGTTTTAATTAGAAAGTAAAATAAACAAAATATGAGAGCCCTTTCTATTTAGCATTTATTTGAAAATGTTCTTGTCAGAGAGGAATCATTAATCATTTGTAATAGAAAATTTTAATTTTCTTAATAAGACTTTCTTTAATATTTTACTTTTTACGAGCAATAGCACAGCAGGTAGGGTGTTTGCCTTGCACGCCGCCAACGTGGTTGACCCTGGTTCAATTCCTCCACCCCTCTCGGAGAGCCCGGCAAGCTACCAAGAGTATTTCACCCGCAAGGCAAAGCCTGGCAAGCTACCCGTGGTGTATTCGATATGAATAGAGTCTGCAAATATAAGAGTATGCATAGATGTGATTTCAACCAGTTTGGGTCCTATATCTCAGTCACTTAGTTTCAGATGTGAATTTGAGCCATGAATGCTTTCCACTGAACATGTTAAATGGAAGGGATTTTTCCAGTATGTAGTAAACATGATCGTGATAATTTTGAATGTGTTTGCCATTTAGGTTTCTTAGGGTAGATAATTCTTTGCTTTTATTCTCTTTATTGCAGTAAAGGGGGGCTTCTTTCCATTAAATACATTTTGCTTGCTTTCATTTTAAGTTTTTATTTTATTGAATTGCTTATAAAAGTCATTGTAAATCACTAAACAAGACTTGAGCAGAAAATATGATTAATGTGAGAGTCAGTGATCATGAATCAATAAATGTGAGTTATAGCATTGATGTAGTAATTTTTAGTATAAATTTAAACCAATTATTTGATTTTTTGATGTTCACAGTTATCAAATAACAGAGTTGAACTTTTTTTTATTAGTGAAAGACCATGAGGTACAGTTGTAGACTTGCAAATTTTTCTGTTTGGGTTTCAATTATACAATGATCTATTACCCATCCCTTCACCAGTGCCCATTTTCCACCACCACTAATCCTAGTATCCCTCCCACCCCCCATCCCACCCTGCCTTTGCAGGAGGGCATTCCCTTTTGTTCTCTCTCTCCTTTTGGGTGCTGTGGATTGCAAAAGAGGCACAGAGTGGCAATCATGTTCGGTCTATAGTCTACTTTCAGCATGCATCTCCCATCCTGGGTGGATCCTCCCAACACCCTTTATTTGGTGCTCCCTTCTCTATCTGAGCTGCCTTTCCCCCTAGCATGTGCAGCTGGCCTCCAAACCATGGAGTGAACCTCCTGGTACTTATCTCGGCTATTCTTGGGTGTCAGTCTCCTATTTTATTGCTTTATGTTCCCCAGATGAATGCAATCTTTCTATGTCTGTCCCTCCCTTTCTGACTCATTTTGCTTAGCATAATACTTTCCATGTAGTACCACTTGTATGTAAATTTCATGACTTAATCTTTTCTAACAGCTACATAAAACTCATTGTGTAGATGTACCAAAATTTCTTTAACCAGTCATCTGTTCTCAGGCACTCAGGTTTTTTCCAGATTCTGGTTATTGTAAAGAGTGCTGCAATGAACAAACAAGTGCAGATGTCACTTCGACTATACTTTTTATATATTCTCAGGAGTGGTATTGCTGGGCCAAATGGGAGCTCAATTTCTAATTTTTTGAGAATTGTCCATACTGTTTTCCAAAAGAGCGGAACCATTCGGCATTCCTACCAGCAGTGAAGGAGGGTCCCCTTCTCACCACATCTGCACCAACACAGGTTGCTTTTGTTCTTTCGGATGTAGGCCAGTCTCTGTGGTGTGAGATGATATCTCATTGTTTTGATCTGCATCTCCCTGATGATTAATGATGTAGAGCATCTTCTCATGTGCCATTTAGCCATTCAGATTTCTTCTTTGAGAAAGTTTCTGTTCATTTCGTTGCCCCATTTTTTGATGGGGTTGGATGTTTTCTTCTTGTGGAGTTCAACCAGTGCTTTGTATATCCTTGATATCAACCCCTTTTTGGATGTGTATTGGGCCAATATCCTTTCCCAGAAGAGTTTTTTAAAAGATTACTTCTTGAACTAATACTCATTCTGTTTCATTAAAAAGCATACAATGTAATAGCCATTTTCTAATGCTTATATCTAATTTTTAATCTAATATTTTGATTATTAGTAAAAATTATGTCAAAAAATCAAAGAGACATTTATTGACATTCCTCAAAGAGCGGTGTACTGGTAATTTTACAGGGTTTAGATTTGTAATTGCCATTTTTTAATACAGAGTAAGTAAAAGTAAAGTAAAGTATTCCCTTCAAAAGTATCAGTGAACCTGCATTTACTCTACTTGTACTTCATGTTAATTCCCAGGGGTATATATTTTATAATAAGGACCACTAACATGCAAAACAATCAGTAATTCTATTTTACAAAAACAGTGCAAGGATCAAAGTTCAGCCATAGGCAATCCTGAATGATACTAACCCAGTGAGGGACAGAAACCTGAGCAGTTATGTTTTTGAAATCAAAGTTGGTTAGAGGGAAAATACTGTTTCTTGATTTTGTGCATGAATATTTATCATCAAATGCTCTTAGAAATGATGTGCTTCTCATTTCCTATTAATGGAGATATAAGGAGTACTACAAAGGATTTCATACTCCTTGAATTTCAGGATTTGCTGATTCAATTTTAAATATATTCTCTCTTTTTATATTTTCTGTAGGATGTGTTCACTCCTGAATGCAAATTTAAGGAATCTGTGTTTGAAAACTACTATGTGATTTATTCTTCTACACTGTACCGTCAGCAAGAATCAGGCCGAGCGTGGTTTTTGGGACTCAATAAAGAAGGTCAAATTATGAAGGGGAACAGAGTGAAGAAAACCAAACCCTCATCACATTTTGTTCCCAAACCGATTGAAGGTAGGAAATGAACTTTCTTTCTCAAAACCGAACCAATGTATTAATGCCAATTCCATATTGTTCCTTTGTTCTGTAGAGTTCACGTAGAATGCACTGTATCAGACTAAAGATTCTCAACATAATTGTAATTCAAGAAAGGAAGGAGAAAATTCTCTTATAAATATTTGACATTTGGAAAAGCACTGCTTTAATATAAAAAGCTTGAAAATTACTTAGAAAAATTAGTATTAGATATAAGTTGGAGAATAATTTCATTCTTTTTTTGAGCTTAATATAATTTCTCAGGCCATTCTCTGGATACACCAATACTATTATTACAATACTTAAAAATTTCAAAAGTTTTTTAGAAATCTGTATCTCTCAATATCTACATCGGTTGAAAAGATTATCAATATAATCTATTAGTCTTTCTTGTATATTTTAAATTAAAATTGTGTGCTATTTATTTTATTAATAAATATTTTTAGAACTAAATTTATCTGTTCTAGTTGAGCCAAAAGCCTTCTCCTTCGATCATTTAACAGGGTGCACATTTATTTCAAATTGAGCAGTGTAATAATAATATTTTTGCTGAACAAAAATTTTTTTTGTAAACTTGTTCTGTAGATAGGATGAGAATATATGCTTGGAGTGACGATATTTGCTGCATTCAGGCTGTTTTCTGTTATTTTAAGTACAGTCTAAAAACAAGAGAGGTCTTGACATTTAATAACTATCATTCTTGTTTAAAAAAATGCATTGTAGTCACTTAAAAGTTAATTCAGAAAGCAGAGAGATTGTACAGTGGGTAGTGCACTGACCTCACATGCGGTTGACCCAAATTCAACCCCAGCATCCCATTTGTACTCCCCAATACTGCTGGGAGAAATTCCTGAGCCAGGAATAAGCCCCTGAGCATCACTGAATATGGCCCAAAACCAAAAACAAAATTATTTCAAGCTCCTTGTCTGATAAAATGAGAATATTGGTGTATTGCAACAACTTGTTATAAATGAAATTTTATAGGATAGTTTGGTTTTGTAGGATACTATGTATTAGGTGGGCTGGAGTGATTGCACAGCCGGTCGGGCATTTGCCTTGCACGCATGGCCGACCCGAGTTTGATTCCTCCACTTTTCTCAGAGAGCCCAGCAAACTACCGAGAGTATCTCACCCGCATGGCAAAGCCTGGCAAGCTCCCCATGATGTATTCAATATGCTAAACACAATAACAAGTCTCACAATGTTACTGGACCCCCTCGAGCAAATCGATGTACAACAGGAGGACAGTGACAGTGACAGTGACTTTGTATTAGGTATATATCTTTTGTCTATATAATCTATAATATTTATGTTATATGTGTAATACATATCACATGATACATTTGTGGATAATATATCATTGTTATATACACACATACATATATATATATATATATACATATAATGTCATTGTATTATCTGTGTACTAATCTACCTCATATGTGAGGTAGATTACTATGTAGATATAATGCCTGTTGTAAAGGACCTATAGCTCTTGCAATAAGCAAGCATGTTAAAACAATGCTTTGGTTCGAATCCCAGAGCAGATGTGACATTCACAGTTTCTAGTCCCTCTCATATTCCCCAGTACGGACACGCTGTGCTTTTAACCTTACAAACTGAATTTTCTTTCAGGCAACACATTTTGGTTTTGGCCTCATGTTTTTTATCCTCTTTTCTTCACATTTCCATTCACCCATTTGCCTAGAAATGACTAATAGTTCTTGTATAAAATTAATTCACAAGTCAATACTTCTTTCAGGGCTTCCCTAACTTTCCTGAAATAGAATCAAACATTATATCATCACTGTATACATTTCTCTCTTCTAGAAATGTGATAAATTTATTTACTGCCATCCTGTTTTGTTTTTACATGGTTTGTTAGATCACTATTTGGATGAACAGAATGTTTTATTTTGCTCATATCTCCTGTATTTTGTAAAATATCTGGCACATCAGAGAGATACTCAAGAATTAGTTTTCAGTTAAATAAATATGTGAATAGACAAATGAGCAGAGAGCATGGAAACAAAGGACCATATGCTCAATATGCTGTAATATCTTTAGATACATAAAATGCCCACTTGATATAAAATATCAAGGGTGTAATTTATTTTTATTTAGACACCATGACTTACACTCCTTTTAATATTAAGATTTCATAAATACCATGATGCTATACTGTATCTACCACGGAGTATTAGCTTCCTCATCACTGCAGGACCACTCTCACTTCCTACAACCACTTGGCAAAGTCTGTTCTTTAATTAGACTCACACTATTGGCTATTATTAATTTTCCTACCATATTTCTCTATACTCAAATATAAGATCACTTGTGGCTGGAGAGATAACACAAGTGAGATTCTTTTCTTGAATGATTCCCACCTTATTTCAATCTCTGTACCCTTTTTGGTCTCCGGGCATTGCCAGGAGTGATCCCTGAGTCCAGAGGCAGGAGTATGCCCTGAGTGCCACCATTATCACCAATAAATAAATAAATAAATAAATAAAAAGAGTGAGATAATTGGTATTTGTTCTTCTCTCTTTGATCCTCTTTGCTCAGCTTGAAACTCTCCATTTCAATTTAAGTTGCAGAAAACTGTGGGATTTCGTCTCTTCTTATAGCTGAGTAGTATTTCATTGTTAAAATACACCGCAATTTTTCAATGCATTAAACTGTTGTTGGAACTTGGTTTGTTTCCAGATTGTGACTACTGTGAATAGCCCTGTAGTAAATATAGGAGTGTAGATATATTTTAGAATTAATTTTTTGAGTTCTTGGGATAGATATTAAGAAGTAGAATCAGGCCAGTGTGATAATACAATGATTAAGTTGTTTGCTTTGCAAGCAGACCAGCCGGGTTTGGTCTCCAGCATCCCATATTTTCCCCTCCAGTCCCACCAGGATTAATTCCTGGGTGCAGAGCCAGAAGTAACCCTGAGCAGTCTGAGTGTGGTCCAAAAACAAAAAGGAAAAGACAGAAAAAAAAAAACAAGTGAAATCAGTGGATTATATAGAACCTTTATTTTTATTTTTTTTAAAAGTTCACACTGTTTTCCACATAGGGTAAATTAGAAGATTTTCTCAAAACATCAGAGGAGGCTTCCTTTCACACCATATCCAAGCCCATACATCTAATAGTATTTTTGATGTATTCTGTTCTCACTGGTGTGTAGTGGTATCTTAGTTTGATTTTTATATCCCCATTCATAAGTGAAGAAGAACACTTTTATATATCTATCATTCTTTCTTTTAGAAGTGTTAAGCATACACTTCTGAATTCTGTGCATCAAGTTTTACTTATATTGTTTGTTTTATTTTTTGTTTGAAACACTGAGTGTTTTAAAAATTGTAGGTATTAGTTCCTTATCAGATGTTGGTGAGCTAATATTCTCTCCCACCAATATGCAACCTTTTTATACTAGTCATCATTTCTTTCATAGTGCAGAAAACTTTTATTTTCTATAAGAGGAAGAATTAGGAGTATTTTAAGCATAATTCATATCTGCAAAAATTAAAAATTCTATAGTAAAATATAATATATATGAACAGAAGAGACATGTAGAAAAGAAATAGAAAATGATAGTTTATTATTAATAGTTAATCATATTTCTCTTTGTCTAAAATGTTGACTTTTTTTAATACTTTTTAAAAGAATTTTGTAAATGGGTCAGCTTGTCGCCATTGTTTTTATACAGTGTGTAGACAATATAGACCCCCATTTTTGTGTAGCAAATTGGCCTTGCGAAAGGTAACTCAGAGTAGGTTTGTATTCTTATTATACTCTGTTTGTTTGTTTTTTTAATAGTTATCCTGTTTTCTAAGTCCTGTTGGTTATATCATTTTGAACATCAGGATTCCCCCAAATTAAGCTCTGCTAGTTTGAGGATCTTGCACTGATTACGTGATTATAATTATCCACCAGCCCTTTCCCTTCTCAGCTTCACCCTCCAACCTGTGTTTAGAATTTAGGAGGTGTTAATGAGGGGTTGTAAGGGCATCTATTGAGACAGATGGATGGACATGATATTTAAAGCCATGACGAGGTACATGCCACATCAACCTCTACTTACATAAATCCCCTCCCTTGAAATGTAATGCAGCACTGCAGACTTTGCAAATCCCAGGTTTGCCCTTTCAGAGCATTGTTCATACTGCAGAGAAGTAACTCCCACAGATTAAATTGTCTTCTTGGTGACCTCCCCCTTTAGTATCAGATATAGCATCCAAATACTTTTCAACAAAGAACAAAATGCAGTCCCCTCCCTTTCTCCTCCCTCCTTCTTCAAAAAGCTCATTACTCAGCTCCTGCAGGTGGTTGAGTATTCAGACTCTAGTTGCTTTTCCCTAAAAAAGAACATGTGCACTTTCCAAAGATCTAAAATTCGAGACATTAATCTCGAATGTTTATGTTTCTAAAATAAAATTAGTATCGACTGAGAGCCCTTGCTTTAGAAATATTAAGCTTGAAGAAGATGAGCACTTGTTTCCCCTTTTCCAACAATTTCCTGTGGGGAGACAAGAGTAGCACTTACATGCCAACATACACACATACCCGCATTGAACTTTAAAGAAGTAGCACATTATCTCTTTTCCCCGCCTTATAAATAATTTAGGTTAGTAGAACCTAATTTGAATCCCATCAGCATCTTATAACCTAAAATATTCGTTAAAGACACATACAAAAGAAAAAGGAAAAAGAAAAAAAGAAAAGTCTGTGATTAGGTTTACTTGGGTTTAAGTTAAGAATAAATAGGTCTTGCAAACCACAGCACCCAAAAGGAGATAGAAAACAAAAGGGAATGCCCTGACACACGGATGGAGCGGGATGGGGGAGTAGGGGGGGTTGGAGGAATACTGGGAGCATTGGACGTGGAGAATGGGCACTGGTGGAGGGATGGGTACTCAATCATTGTATAACTGAAACCCATCATGGTCACGGTCACAGTCCTCCTATTGTTCATCGATTTGCTCGA